TTGTTTCTTTCTTGCTACCCTTTATGCATGGAACATCCTGCTGGATTTATCTGGAAGACCACTATCCTTTCTGTCAAATCCTATTTACGGATGTAGGAAAGGATGGATCTCGGTTGTACCATACAGAACTATAGTTTTATTGTAATGCATACAAGAAACAAGAAGAGATCAGACAGAGTTCATATAAGAACTTTAACTAGGAGTTTCTTTATTTTTATTTTTTATTAACTTTACCATTCTAAGAACTCTAATGTAAGTCTCTTGGTTTTTCTTAGTGCCCATCATACTGTAGTATCCAAATACCAAACATATCATTAAGATCCACAAAGCATCTTCTGAACATCTACAAACCTAGTTTGTAATATTAGTGAAGGCAATGGGGGGACTGAAGTAGCAGAGGTCCCTCAATAGACCAAACTGAAACTAGAGTCCTGACAGACCAGCAAAAGAGCAAGATACTATAAACAGTGCTTGAAATTCCTATCTTCCACTCCCAACAGAACAAGAGACAACTTATTAAGACAGGAGAGAACAACATAGGCCAAACATTCCACTGATACTACTATACAGCCTACCTACCTTGTTAGCTTCATATCTCTCATAAGCTGTGCCTCCAGGAGAATCAGGGAAGATGTAAGGTTGAGGATGCTGGTTTGCCCAAAGTTCTTCCTCAGCAGCTCTCAGCAGTTTTGTTGCTTTCACCATATCCCTCTCATTTTTGTGTTCGTCGAACCGCGCTCTCAGCACACAGGCATAGAATCGATACTTGTCCCTATAGATACAAATAATGTGCAACATTTCTAGTGATAAAAATATCAGGGTTGTTTTCTGCATTGTTTTCTAGTATGGGAATATTAGAAGTTTCCTCACCACAGACTAAAAGACTTGCCCTTGACCTGTTGAGAATTCACATCATTATCATCATTCTTCATGGAAATCAGGGACAGAAGAGCCTCCTTGAGTCATCTAGTCATTGGATGTCTACAATAGGTTCTCCTTGTATATTGTCTAATCTGAAATGAGTCAAACTCTTTATCTAAGTATAAACAAGTTAAGCCCTTTCTGCAGTTCTACCCATCCAGGCACTATCTAGACCAGGCCTGCACAACTCCTAAAGCAGCAAGGGCCATATTACTCCAAAGACTAGGTCTACACTACCCGCCTGAATTGGCGGGTAGAAATCGACCTCTCGGGGATCGATTTATCGCGTCCCGATCCCCAAATCGGCGCTCTTACTCCACCAGCGGCGGTGGGAGTAAGCACCGCCGACAGAAAGCTGCAGAAGTTGATTTTGCCGCCATCCTCACAGCGGGGTAAGTCGGCTGCGATACGTCGAATTCAGCTACGCTATTCACGTAGCTGAATTTGCGTATCTTAAATCGACTCCCCCCTGTAGTGTAGATGTACCCAAAGAAACCAGCTGGGGGCCGTAACCCCCTGAGCGCCGCCAACCCCCCCACCCCCAGCATCGCCCGCCCCACGGAAACAAACCCTCCTTCCCCAGCGCCGCCCCACCGAAACAGCAGTATTGAACCTCGGTAATATGATATAGCGGGCCCCTAAGGTAGTATAATTAAGGTAAAAGAAAAATGTCTTTTTGCTAGAAGTAGAAAGTAGAATAAGATCTTCCCCCCCACTTTGTAATTAATTGCCCTGTTGAATGAATGAGGTGTGAATGAGGAAGGTGTGGAAGGCAGGCACCTCCAGACAGCTGCAACCCTTGGAGAGGGCAGGGCCGGCTCTAGGATTTTTGCTGCCCCAAGCAAAAAATTTTTTGGACGCCTCCCCTTTCTTTTTTGTGCCCCTCTGCCCCTGGCCTCACCCCAACTCCACCCTTCCAAACCCCTTCTCCAAATCCCCAGCACCGCCTCCTCCCCCGGCGTGCCACATTTCACCCCCCCCCCATTGCTTCCTGCGGGCCCCCCGCGACCTCCCGCCCTAGCTCCCCTAGGCGCGCCACCGCTCCGCTTCTCCCCCCTCCCTCTCAGGCGAGGGAGGGCGGAGAAGTGGACCAGCGGCAGTGTTCAGGGGAGCCGGTGGAGCAGAGGTGAGCTAGGGTGAGGGGGAGCAGGAAGTAACGGGGGGGGTTAGAGGAACCGCTCCCCGGTCCAGCTCACCTCCGCTCCACCACCACCGCTGCCTCCCCCGAGCGCCCACCGCTCGGCTTCTTCTC